ATATATATATATATATATATATATATATATATATATATATATATATATAAAGGATGGTTGTGTAAACGAATTCCCATCACTTCTACTGGGGCCCCCGTAGAGTGAACATGCTTCGATCACTGCCCACAAAGGTTACCATTTCGCTTCTGCTTGAACCCCACTTCATTCTTTTAATTTATTACTTTCATTTTCAAACCATCAGCCTAAGGACATTTCAAGAGATTTTGCGGGCATTTAAATTATTTTGACATACCCACATATAAAATCGAAATCCAGTGAATGAAACTGATACCAATAAGAAAGATATTTAACATTAGGCCGGTGTTAGGCGGGAAAATGGAATTCAGCTTACCTGAACGACAGCGAATACGACTCCGGGTAGTGCATTCGGGTAGCTTCAAGACATTTAACCCCATAGGAAGTGATATCACGAATCCTTGGGCTATCGGTTCCGTGACATGTTTTACAGCATTCCCAAATAACCATTTTCGAAATGGCTAGAACCAAAATCAAGAGAATGATAGATATGGTCTAATCCTAACATTTCGTAAATTTGTAATGCCTCAACTCGAATTTATCTCATGACACCCCGGTGATTGCGTGGTAGATGCAAAAACGAAGCGATGAGGAAGACGCCGGTCCGGCGTGTGTAACTCGTGTTTTGTTCTCACCCGTGAAGTCTACTCATCCGAAACTGTTCCCGATATTCCAAAATAAACTGCGTCTCACATCCACTTTATTGTTCAAGCAAATCGTTGGTTCCAATCCAGAAGTGTAACTCAATGCAATGTTCTAAAAATGTACACTGGCCCGTTTCCTAAGGTGAACATGAAACAAAAATCCTCATACTCACCTGTCCTACCTTAGATTGGTAAAGTTTAGCTGACACAGTTGTATCGGTTTTTGGAGGCACGTACGTGAATGAGGAACCCACTCCGCCTGAAAAATTCATGTACCAGTCCAACACACACACACACACACTACTGTGCTCACCATTCCACCAAGTAAAACGTGATATTATCGGGCCAGCTGATTTTCGTGAGTGGTACTTGGATGATCTCCATCTGCATTCGGCACTTGTCGCTGTGTCTTTGATGGCGGTAAGCCTTTTGTGACAATTGTAAAGCTAAAATACAGGATATTTCAATTCTGGCGAAGGAATTGTTTTTGTAACCCTGTCACTCACAAAGACAAATAAGACATGAGATTTTCTCCGTGTGCAACCAATCATCAAGACGGGTACAGAATCAGCTGAGTTCAGTTTAGTTCTTACAACCATTAACCATGCACTTTCGTAGGCCGGTTTTGGTTGCCGCCCTTTGGGTGCCCGTTTGGATAAAAAACAGAATGAAGTTTAGAATGGTGACAGCAGATTCAAGCGGAAGATAGCGCATTTCCATAGACTGAAGTTACAAAAATAATGGGTAGATGCATAGGCGTCACTGTTTGCTACACCCAGCCATATCGCTCAGTGTCTCCGACCATCAGTGACCATAATCTCGGGGTCCCCAACCAGGGAGCCTAACGGGATCTATGTGAGCCAGTCCCCTGGTCAGGGTTTTCATACCCTCATGCCAGGTCTTAGTTTGACCGCCCTTGATATTTTCCAACCGCTACCTGCCTCGGCAAACATCGCTCGCCGTGGCAACCTATCTGGTGACATACGTAACACATGTCCCAACCACCGTAATCTATGGAAGGCGACTACTTGCTCCAGTGGACGACCGCGATTACCTAAAACTCTGTCTAACCTCAGCATTTCTCGTTGGGTTTCCTCACCAGACTCGTGAAATACTACGTAGACAGCGGTGTTCGATCACCGACAATCTATTTTATCCTGTGCCCGTAATGGCCACGTCTCTGCACCGTAAAGCAGAACTGGCTGAACTGCTGCAGCCTATACTCGACCCTTAACAGACAGCCGGATGTCACGACGGTGCCCCAGATGTCTCAAGTTGGCAAATGCCACCCGAGTCTTCTCGGCCGACACTTCATCTGTGATGCGTCCGCCAAGTGAGATATAGCTGCCCAGATAGCAAAACTTGTCTAATTTCCTTACAATCACCCAGATCAGGGTGAGGTTGGGGACTGGGTCATCCCAGTCTTCGAGCAGCATTTTACACTTTGAAGGTGCAAAACGCATACCGAACCTGGTTACACTAGCAATCAAACTATCCAGAAAAGCTTGCAACTTACCTGGATCTTCAATTAGTAGCACAATGTTGTCTGCATACTCTCAATCAGACAGTCTGTCACTCGGGAGTAAGTCGATACCACTATCCACGCGCGAGGATAGGGTTGTTTCAAGAATTAAATCTATGACAAAGTTAAATAGCAACGGAGAGAGAGGGCAACCCTGACGAACATCACTTTCCGTGGTGAACTTGCGTGAAAATTGCCGCAAGCTCGGAATCAGTGTGGTTTGAATGCATGTAGTCCGGTACCGAATCCTTGGATGACCAAGTATCATCGGAATTGACTTCTTCGGTGACAATGCACCGTTGTCACTAGCGCAAAACGCGACGGGCTACTTAGCTGTGGAGCGATAAAGCTAGTTTTCAGCTACTTGTGAGAGATGGAATAACTAGAGTCTGAGGATCTAAAGTACATCGGATCACAAATGAAACTGTTATACTGAGAGTCTCTCAGTATAACATCAATGGGTTATACGCACGTGATAACGATATATCACCCCTACCGATGTTACTCTTAGTTCCATTATGGTGATAACTTCTGTGTCCCCTCCCTTTTGCCGGTTAAGAGCAAAAGCCGCTCGAGTTGAACACATACTGAACTATTGTTCGGTATAATTCTCCACTTTTTCCAACTTTCGGTAGTTACATAATTATATCTATGTGAATTCAGTGCTTAGAAAGTTTACAGAGAAATCGTTTACAGAAAAACAGGGTACTTACTTCCACGTAAATAGTCAGAAATATTCTCATACGGATACAATCGTCCTTTTAGACGGGTCCGAATCCAGCCACGTATTTCTTCACCGAATTTGAAAATCACAATGAATGTACAAAATAAGAACACCACCGCGTCCAAAAGGATCCCAACCACAAGTAAAGCAATCTCGTCTGAGGCCAGCTCCTCTTGGCCCCAATCTGGAGGGATGTCGGTATAATAACCACAACCGTCACGTAAATCAGTCGCTTCACACATGCACTACTCTGTACTGACTGTGAAACTGAAATCCTGGATCACATGACTTTCATTTGAGTGAAAGTTGGCATCGATCGGGTCACATAAAACCCTACATGACTGATTAGTGAACAAACTTGTCGACGGTTGTTTATTGTTTCGGCAATATTCTTTGCATTATGAATGTGGTGCCAATAGTTTGGGCTATATTGTTACAGAACTTCCACTCAATACTCGTCTGTAAATACATATTTACTCCTATCTGGATGGATCGTCAGTAACCGGTCTTTTAGGTGTCTCTATCCTGATACATGTCAGCTTCGCGTATAGTACTTAACGTAAATCTTATTTCAGTCTAATCGCTCGCTTGATTATTCGTAATCGCAGCTGAACTGAACAAACGCAAGCAGCTTATCGTAGGAGAGACGTGTAAAAGAAATGTTAAAGTAGTTTTGCGACAACTAAGTAACTTACGTTTAGTGTACACAAATAAAAGTTCCACTTGAACAAATCGACAGTTAGAGGGAAATTACTCAAAACAGGATTGTCCAAGTTCAATCAAATAAACAAACGTATTATGATTCACAGAGTTCGTGTGTAAAAGTCCGACGCGTAGATAATAATGGGTTAGATCACAGTCGCACAATACTGATGAACAAATAGCGCAAGGTCCAGCACTCGAATTGATCGGATTCATGAATGCGTGGATAGGTTAATGTGGTTAGGTGATAAGTGCGGTTAGTGATAATGTTTTGGAATCGGAAATGGGATCGGTCTTTCTATAAGCGAGCCCATTCGGTCGATATTCCTTTTAACCTTAGACAACGAAATGTCCTATCCTGCCTGTAAACATTTTCCCCTTGAATACGTTCCCTGTGACGGTTGGAATGTTTAGTTTTTTAGCTGACATGCAAGCTTCTGTGCTTGCAAAAGTTACAAAAATCATTCACAATAATATATATACACAATTTAACACGTGTGGATAAACTCACCTCACCGTAAAAACCATTTAATTTGCGCTACAAATCCAATCAAAACTGTAAATAAACACTGACGAGGTCATCTTCGACGATCCATCTTTCAGCTGCATTCTGATAATCGGTCCAGCAGAGAGCTCACATCTTAGTTTGGCAGCTGGGAAGGTTGAGTGAAAGACAACTGTCAACTAATGCGTTGCCTTTCTATATTGTGTATCCATTCGGAACAGGATTTTCAAAAGTAACGAAAGCCCACAGTTCCCTAGATGATCTGAGTTACTGCCGGGAATACTGAAACGCGATTGGTAGAAGCCCGGATAACCAATGAGCCTACTTTGTACGTATTATTTAATCTCTTTATTTCTTCCAATAAACGAACTACTACTCCTTAGGCCTATATCCTTGCATCTCAGTTACGTGGGATATCGTGCGCGCTATTGCCAATGCTGTCCAGTGCTTACATGATCCAGTCCGTAATTGTTAATCCTTGATTCGTATTCCATGATCCGTATTGCGTGGTTTATGTTCCAAATTCAGTGCGCATTAATACTACTATTCATACAATCACTACAGTTACGTAGCTTTGTCAAAATAGCCTTTATTCTTGCAGGATCAGGTACAAAACTTTTCCAAGATATCTGTTCAGCATACCCAAGGGGGTACTCTGAGAGTTAAGCTATGAACAACGTTTTCTCCAGTGGTATAGTGAGATGAAGCTAGAGAAGTTTGCATATCGCTCATTTTACAATTTTTTCTGGTAACTTTTTCATTCGAGTGACCTACCTTTAATCCTGTTCACCAGTACATCTAAGCTCGGTAATCCTTTATGACTTCTACTCTCTACCGTCACGGTTGAGTTTCCCAGATTTCTACTTTCAGCGTGTTTAGTATACCACAGTGTTAAATTTTCATGTGAGAACATCGTCTATTTAACGAATTTCATAATAAAATGGCTGGATATTTGATCTGAATGTCCAATTATCTATATAGTATCACCAGAAATACGTTAGCTTGCAACAGATCCAATAGTAATAATATACCGACACCGGTTATCTAGCAATAAAACATCCGTTAAAAATAATTGTAAAGTAGGTTCTTTGGCTGTTGGTTGAACAATTCCTGCCTTCATTTTTTTGTTCACACAGAAAGCATGCCCCTTTCTTTCAAAATAAGTAACCCAGTACGATTATAACGGTTTCACATTCAGTGAAATTTTTGACCGTCGATTCAGTCTGAACTGTATTACTTGATCCCGAACACTCCCTCCCCTGAACCGGATAAGTCTACAACACACTAAACAATAGCTTAGGCGTGTGTACTCTGTTATCACATTTGGGATGCACAAGCGCATGACTGATAAACATTAAAACCGGTTGTTTGCTTTCCTCTTTTTTTCCTCAGTCCTCCCTGCTTTGGTTTTCACAGATTTTTAGTGCTTCTTACGCTGCATCCTTTAGTTCACAGTGGAAATATGGCCATTCCTACTTGTCTTTGCTTTTGTTCAACCCCTAGATTCACCCCCTTCCTGGATAATGGAGCTGTGTGTGTGTGTGTGTGTGTGTGTAGGTGTGTGTGGGTTAACACGGTATACTCTCGACTCGCTCTACTCGACAACCCCTTGTCGACGACCCCTCTTTTACATTCAATTTGCGGTCCCTAACCCCTCGCCCAGTAGTCAATTCGTTCTTCCTACCATTTTCCTTTCTGTTTCTCCTGCATCATCTTATACCTTTAATTTTGCAATCATACACCCATTCAGTCAAGATTTGAAACTAGTGTTATTACCGAACATCTGATTCCAGATACTGTGTGGCTAAACTTCAAGCAACCAATGCCGCTCAATTGGTTAAAGTCATGATCCGAAAGCCTCGGATGTTTATTGTTCAGATCCCTCCACTCCTTTGTTTCACATGATAGCCCTCGATTTTTCCCATTCGTCTTTCCTTCCTGAAAAATAATTTACACAACTACGTATTTTATAAGAAGGAATCGAATAACAAGATAAATAGATCCTTTGTTCCGGAAACAGTTCCATTATTAAAATCCTGCCCCTTCTGCTTCATCAGCTTCATAAGACCTCCCGGACATCCACGTGTAGGACAAACGAGCCGAAGTACTATGAATTACTTGTCAGTGTGGTCTTTTGATCATGAGATTCCCCTCTGCTGCAAATGATAATTACCATGTAATATACTTGTCAACGATGAAAGTGTTTTTTATGTTTTCCGTTTGTCTACTCACAAGTAACTTATTTTTATTACGACACTTCATATGTCGTGTATGTGTTCTTTGGAGGACACCAGGTGTGTTATGTGAAATGCTTTATAGAGAATACAAACTTTGGGGAAGTCATTAATCAGTTGATGTTTCAGTTTCCATGCCTCTTTCAAACGAGGCTATTTTTAATTCTAAACCGATGTTGATGTTAACGATGACTAACTGCCAGCTTTTTGGACAAACGCTGCGTTATTGAGCATCAGGCAATGTTTCTAGAGACATTTTTGATTCTTGTAATTTTTAAGAACTACTGGTGTCCGAACAGCGATCTGTCAAATGCTTTTTAAACGAAATTAGGATATTCACACAGTTCAATTGTAAAAGTGTGAATTATCTGGAAAAATGGGGATTGAATTCGTAGCAGTCATAAGAAAAGTTATCTCTCTTTGTAGGTTTACGTTGGTTATTTCACAGTTGACGTTTCGAATTCATTCGCGCATTGAATTTTCCAAAGCACTACAATCTTCGCGGATTTCAAACGGAGGTGTAATGGAAAATTAACCATAAAACTAAAGCACCTCAAACACGTGAGACAATTGACCTCAGCGATTTCATTCACTATATTACTCAACGTACAGCGTATACACAAATCGGGGAGGTTGCCAGCCTCACAATTCAGAACATATTATTGCTCGGATTCCCGGTGAAATTACGGTTTATATATATATTCATATTTAGTTCTGGATAGAATAACATTTTTCTCTAGAACGATATTTATTTTATTAGTTTTGGTTCACACTGTATTTTAAACCATCGCGGTAGAAACAGTTTTATAATAAATACATCAATTATTCGTGTTTGGTACTGTAATACATTTAGGTTGTTCTGCTTAAGAGAGGCGACTATCTTAAGCATTCCCGGTTTTAGTCCACAGCTTACCAACGCCTGACCTTCAAGACATCGAGTCGATGTGTGAGACTGGATGTTGTGTGAAGCTGGTGTCCACCTAGTTGTGTCTTACGTCATTAAAATGCCGTTCAGTCTTCCAGACTGTCCAGTATGGATGATGGCTCAGTTCATCCTGGTGGAAAATGCAACCAGCGAATCTTGAACGTACATTTTGGACTCCCTCTTCAGAAGTCTGAGTTAATAGTTTTCAAGGTATTTAGATCATCTATTCGATCTGAGGTCGATGACCCGATCATAAAACCAAAAGTGCATCTTTTGTTCTCTCATTAAACTAGAAACTCCCTTGTCACTGGAAGTCAAAGAGCAGGAATTTCCTGAGACAATGTTTGGAGTACGAACTCCAAGGGAGTAGTTCCTCTTTCGTGAGTAAAGTCTCATTCACCGAAAAGGGGGCTGGAAACTTTTAGAAGATAGAAAGCAACAACCATTGGTGAGATGCAACAAATGAATGACCCAATTGTGATCTAAAACCAATTGTGCAAACAATTGGCTAGTTATTTTTATTATTGCCAGTTCATTTTTCATAGTCGGTAGTGATTGCTTAAATCAGTTTGATTGTAATAAATTCCTATTTCAGAAGAAAAAATGTTTTGGCTTTTCGGAGTGCAAAAGTTGGAACAATAGGGAAATGATTTGATCTTCAATACACACATCGTAAGCGCTTGGATTTTGGATGAATTTTCAACAGAACCGTATCTGCACATCGTTCTCGACATACATTTGGATGTATATATTTGAAGATTTTTCTAGAAGTCCGAGATGAACGCTTTCTTCATTCCATGGTTGACGAGGAATAAAAACCATAGTTCCACCGGGTAACGTGTCCTTTTGTCACCTTTCCGTGAAAATGTTTCTTTT